AACTAGACTGAAGAACAAAACAACAGCAACTTGTCTGTTCCCCTTCCCCTGATTCCCCAGTGCTGTTCTCCTCCCCCAATTCCCCAATAAAATCTTAAAAAAAAAAAAAGATTAAAAATGTTGCAAAAAAGGGTGGAGAAGGATTGAAGCAGAGTAGGACAGGAGTAAAAAATGTCAAATAGAAAAAAAGCTAAATTAGTCCAAGAGAAAATGTTTCCCAGCTTCTTAAGAGAGTTTTCACAAACACTGCAGCAGAATAAACAAGAGAATTAAGTTGGCTTGTGCCCTGATAAGGAGATTTCTTTCTTGGTTATATAACTTTACAATGTTTCCACAGTGTAAAAGAAAATAATCAGCCAGGGAGGACTCTTCCCTTGGACTATACAATTCAGCTCTTGGGTTAATCGGCTCGCAGATCTGCTCCACTTGACCTGATCCCCTTCCAGCCCTGTGATCTCAGACGAAGCCTCACATTCAAGAGTGCTGGTGTAGCGCTCAATGACATAGAAACGGGATAAAACATAATCTTCATTCCATAACCTTGGTCCCTTGGTGTAATGGCCTCTGCTTGCACATAGGGGTAAAAAAATAAAGGGAAAAAAAAAATCTACACCTGGTATCTTCTCCTAGTGGCTGGTTTTCCATAGGTCTGTCTGTCCTGGACTGATCCAGGTATAGTCTCCTACTAAGTAGTGTTATAAAGCAGTGTTATTCAGAGCAATTACCTTAAAGGATAGCTTTCAAGTACTGTTTTGTGCACATATCCCAGGAAAGGTTTCTCTTCATATGGCTTCTCTACGTTGTCATGAAGTAAGACCACAGGAAAGGCTCAATGAATCACTAAGCCTGCTCTTCTGGGAAGGCGAGATTAGGTCAGCAGATAGAGACACATTTTCTCTATCAAGCTTTATCCTAGTTATTAGGCCACTACTTTAACACTTGGTCTCAACAGACACACACACGTCTATAGAGGAAATGCATGTTCTTTTGCCTGGGTTGGCCATTTTAAGGCTGGTCATGTTTTACTTTAATATCTCATTATTGTTTGAAAACATGATTCAAAAACATTTAACTCTGCTCTTGATTGATTAGTAATGATAGTAACAAGTTCCCCTTTGTAGATTAAGGTGACACCACTGACCCACCTAATAGGATATGCGTTGATAGACGATTACTGATCCATCCTTACTTTGCTCCTGGTCCTGCTCATGACCAGTGGCCTGCATTTGACCTTATGAGGCAAGAACCAAGAGCCACCAAAATCCTCCAGTCACCAAAGAGACACAAAATAATAGCATTTGTCTTGCCAGCCACTTCCTACTGACACTAACAAAATGGAAATGACTGGTTAATTTATTCAAAGAAATAGAAAAGAAAAATGTGGCACTAACTTCCTTATTTACTAATAAATGCTAACTAGAATCAATAAAACTGGGACCCCGGTATCCATGACACCATATATTACCGACTGAATCACAAAATCAGTGTATAAAGCCTAAAATGTAAAACAAACTACAAGTTTTCAAGGAGTGGGCTTAAGAATCCATGAAAATGACTGAATCAACACAGATTCACAATAAATTTTGCTTCCTCAATTAAGAGTTCAAGTAGTTGCTTGACAATCCCTAATGATATGCCCGATAGCTGCAAACAGGATTTATTTAATAAAATTTATAACCTAGGGTAGAAACTTAGGTCATTTGGTTCTACAGGAATATTTTTGGATGCGTTTCACTGAAAAGAGAGGTAATGGATTCAGAACCCAGGATACGAATCATCAGGGAACAGGTATCACTGAGGTAATGAGCACGCCAGGGCCTGAAAATTCAAGAATGTTCCCCTAAACGAAAACAAGCAGCTCCATCTTCTCAGAACATGGCTGACTCAATCATCAAGCTGGAATGTTATTTACACAGTCCCAAGCAAACCAAGAAGAATCCTCTGGTCTGTAACCAAGGGCACTCGGAAAGTTATGTCTGGAACGGGCAAAGGCTCATGTCTGTTTTTGATGATTCCTGACTCCCTGAAAAGGAGCCAATTTACCTAATGCAGGTAAAGGGCAACAATTCCTTTCCCACCACCTCCTCCGGAAAGGACTACCAGCGTGACACGTCATGCCTCTTTAATTAATAACTTGGATTTGTTTTATTTAGGAAAATGGGCAAAGCTGGGTTCTGAATTCTGCCCCATCCAACAAATGAGAATAATCACCCTGTCTTCCTCATCCTCCTGCTTGTAGGGGAGGTTGTAATGGAACCTGGTCCACACAGAGGACAAAGCTGAAGATAGATGTCGGGAAAAATAAAATTCCTCATTAGAAAACATCTTAACAAAGAGGTCAGGCTGTGGTGGTACTTTCTTTGGGTGTGGAGGGGAGATGAAGAAATGGGTAGAAATTAACATTTCTATAATAAATGGAAGGGGGAAATTCTCATTTGAGGCCAGGATAGAAACCAGTATTGGGAGCTCTGAGAAAGTCATTCCCCTTTTGGAGGTCTCCCTAGCATCATCCAGTACTTTAAGCTACTGGTTTATGAGTTAATGCAAAAGTACCTAGGATCTGGGGAATAGTTTATTCACTTGGCAAGGTCTGTATGGTCTAAGGTTTTCAAAGCATACTAATTTAAGAAAAAGCACCATCACCATTTAATTTGTACATGACTTATCTAGAGCTCAACAGATGATCAGCTAAGTGAAATGATCACTCACCCTCTACAGGTAGAGAATTTGAGATCCCTGGGTGTGGACCTGGGTCCCTTACAAGCTATTGGCAAACATCAGGAGGTGCTAACTCTCTAGGGTCCATTCTTATAATTTGTACTGTATGTTACTTGTCTTCCCACTTCATTTGAACTGCCGTTGGGGCAGGCAGGGATGCTGGCTTCTCTACCTAGACCCTGCCAGTGTTGGACCAGGACAGACAACGTGGCCAATGCTTTCAGAAAATGAACATTCAGATCACTAGGTCCGACTTGTTCTCAACCTTGAATGTCACAGGACATTGTCAAAGCACTCACCTGTCTTCTCTCTGAACCAAGGTGCTGGAAAATCAGCCGGGTATTTACACTATGGCTCCAGGTGTTTCCTAGTGCAGCTGTCACACAGCTGGATCCAGAAATCCCTGAAATAAAGCAGAGAAGAGCTACGATGATAGATGCCCTTTCTTGTGACGGTGTCTCACGTACGCAAAAGTCCAGTCATTGCTCAGTGCTCAGAGGGTACTCGGGGGCTCATTACCCTAGAAGCTGATAAATTAGAGAAGGAGAGGGGTTAAGGAATATGAGACTGAAAATAAAAGCCAGCATGAGTTTCCTTCAGCCTCGGTGTGAGTGACCACTGCTGGGCTAAAAGGTAACAGAGTTATAATATCAATAAGAGGTTGCACTGCAAGGCAGCTTGGAGCCATTGCTAAAGATAAGCCAAGCCACTCAACATCCATGGTAGAAAGGCATAATACTACTAGGTAGAATAAGAGCTGGTTATGAAACAGTCTTAGTTTAATAGAGTTGTAAGACGTTTTTAGCTTGATAAGATTTTTAACTCAGTTTTCCTTATCAATATAGAAATGGTGGCATATCCATATAAAATTCCTTTGCGCTTCCAACTCCTGCACGCGTGCACACACCCAGAAGAGGAATGTGGAAGATCTCACCATTTCATATCTCTGTATTACACATCCTTATCCCAAGAGAAACATTCTTTTGCCTTCTAAGACTTTTCTATAAGGGGAGGATCTAAAGGAAACTGTCTGAGTTTCTGGTTTGCTCCACGTTGCACATCAGCTGCTATCTTACATCTCCAGGGCTTTACTGGTGCCTCTTGACATCACCAGGAGGAAACCATTCTGCCTTCCTCCTCTTCTTCCTCCTCTACTTCACTATTCAGTAGCCAGCCTTCGCTATCACATCTAGCACATCCTGAGGCCTCCTCCGAACTCCTGTGCTCACTTTGGGCCTGAGCCATGGGAGGAATCCTAGTCTTTGGAGGGCATAGTGGAACATTTTAGTCTGCCTTGTATCTTCAAGATCCCAGCTCTCTTCAATGAGGAGATAAATTATACAGAGGTTGAAGCCGACTAAATTAGTTAAAATGAAATGAGGCCTTGTGTTTCTTATTTGTTGCCTACTCACTGCATCATCTAATGCTCACTGTTCAGTGTGGAGTGGTCATTGGTCTTTCAGGGCGTTCTACCTACTTTGCATGACTTTGAGGTCCTAGGACCAAATACTATAACAGATGAATGTGGTTTAGTGGTTCTGGCCTGGAAGTGATTTTGTTGACAATGTCCAAGTGGGAGTGCTGGAAGTGATTTTGTTGACAATGTCCAAGTGGGAGTGCTACCAGCATCTAGAGGGGAGAGGCCAGGGATGCTACTAAACATCCTGTAACATGCAGGACAACCCCCCAACAAAGAATTATCTGCCTCCACATATAACTGTGCTGAGGTTGAGAGCCCCTGGGTTAGGACGACGCCAACCATATATTTTTTTCTGGTTCAGGCAGGTACAGGAATACATTAGATGGAAATCAATGGGGGCCTCAACAAGCCTGGGGATTTCAGACTAAAGGAGAATTTAGCAGAGGAGAGGATAAAATTTGGGGCAACCTTGGTTCATCATACACACAATTCAAAACACACACAAATTAATGTGAAAAGAAATAATCCAAGTTGTGTTGATCTGATCACATCACTCCCTTACTTAAAACCCTTTGGCAGTCTTCTGTACCTGAGGATAGAATTCTAACTCCTGAAAGGATACATTCTGGGCGCTTGGTCATCTTCGTCTGTATCCCTCTCTGGCCCCATCGCTCTAAGCTCGCATTAGATCATCTTCTGCAGCTTCCTGACTTCTTGGTCCTCAACTTTCTCAACCTCTTGTCAGCAGCTGATAAACTTTCACCCTCCTTTGGCATCCAATATGCTGGCCTCTTCTGCTTCTCCTTGTACCACATTGATTGCTTTACTTTCTCTGTTTTTCTTCTCCCTCTCTTCTTAGTGGGTCCATGTTAGGAAGCTGGCCACAACCCCAATTTTTCCTAATACCCAAGTGCCTTCAGTGGTCAGGAAATACACTAATAAAGAGGCCAGGTGTTTGCATTTTAACATGTAGACTTCTTTACTACCACAAAGAGATGTACACTATTCCATTTCTCTTAAAAAAAAAACAACCTCAGTCGACCTTTTAGTTTCCCCTTCTTGATAGAGACACATTAACAGAGAAATGTTTTCTACTATAAGAAAACCAATGCTACAAAGCAAGAGCAACTGAATTTTCTCCTTTTTGCATTTTTATAAAACAGCTTTATTAAGATAATTCACACATACAACCCATCCATTTAAAGGGTACAGTTAAATGGTTTTTACTATATTTGGAGTTGTCCAAACGTTATCACATCTACTTTAGAATATTTCATCACCCCAAAAGGAAGTCCCATGCCCCTTAGTCATGAGCCTCTAACCCTTCTTTTCTGCCCCCAGCCCTAGGCAACCATTAATCAATCCTCTTTTTGTTTAATCTTAAGTGTTAGGAGAGGATGGGCAGTGGTGGAGACTAGTGAATTAGCGGATTTACCCAGGATCTCAAGGGGGAAGCCCTGTCCAGCTCCAGCTGTTGCTATCATGTGGCAATATGAGTTCATAGTTAGCCACATCTTTTGATTTTTTAGAAGAGAAGGCAGAAATCAATATTTTAAGTACAATCTCCTGATTTTAAAATGTTGGTTAATTAAAAAATTTTTTAAAAACACACAAACATGCTTATGAGCCAGATTCTGACCTATTCCCAGCAAGCTGCTCAATATGGCATGTCTTCACTATTGACAAGGATGACACCCCCGTGTGGGTGATTCCTAAGCCTTTGTCTCAACCTCTGACTCGCCTCAGCTCCTCTCCTCTGTTTTGAATCACAAGAAGTTATTCATTATGCAAGGCTGACATAACGAATTTAACACCATAAATTCAATATTTTCAAATCGAGCTCCTATCTTCCCATATAGATTTACTCCTCTTTCTTTGTCCCTTTCACAGGCCTTCCAGTTAACCTGGTTTGAAACCTCAGTTCCATTGAAAAATGTCTCCTTCTTCCATGCTCCTCACTTCCAATAAATTGTGAGGTCCTATTGATTTAACTGTAAAATCTCACCTACATCCATTCCCTACCCTTCATTCTTCCTACCCCAACCTTACAACAGACCCACGTTAGCTTTCACCTGAGGATACTGCTACAGTTTTCTACCTGATCTCCATGCTGCTGTCAGTTTCTCCCACCAACGCCTGTCCTCTGTTCTACCGCCCAGTTACCATAACTTCCTCGCGCACACATCCAAGCACACTACCCTCCCATTTGTGATCAGCATGCTCAAAAGCTTTCAGTAGCCCCCAAGTGCCTTCAAAGAGTTCTAAGTTCCTAAGGTTGGCATTCGAGGCTCTTCCAGCCCGTGCCTAACCTGTCTTTCCACACCTCTTCCCTCCAGTCCACTTCATGTAGATTTTGCTCCAATTTAATCACTTCTTCCCCGTGCCCCCTCCATACCACGAAGACCTCTATGTCCACACGTTGTCTTCAATACCACTTCCTACATGCCACTTCCCTGATCACCACAGAAATAATGTTTTCCTCCTCTAAACCCCCATAATACTTTCACTCTCTCATGTTACTGCCATTTTCTATCCTGTGGTATATTACTTGTGTGCTTTTCTTATCACCCATAGTATATATTTCAAGACGGCCAAATCCATCTCTAATTCATGCTAGTATGCCTGACTCACTTAACACAAGGTCTGAGACACAGAGGAAGCTTGTAAAATACTGGTTAAATAGTTAATGAGTTACTCCTACCAGACGTTGAACCATGTCATATACTTGTTTTAGCAGCAGATTTACATTCTTAATTCTATCTTGCTTAAGCTAAAATGCAGAGGTTTACATTCTTCAGGCAAACTCTAGAAGCCTGTTGCTTAGATGCCTGCTAAGTGATAGGATGAAGTGAGGTTGAGCTTTAAAGTTTGCCAAAGAAAAAACTAGATGTGAATAATTAGAAGTCGCTAATTAGTTAAGCATTCAAAATTTTTTCTTGGTAATAAAATTGTAAGAGCTTCCCAGGTCTAGAAGATGCTTTCAGCAATCAGAGCCACATTTAGCCAGCAGTCACTATTTAAAGAATTCCATGTCTCTTAAACCAATGAGAATGGTATTAAAAAAGTACCCATAAACTTTACCTGTTTTCTGGATAGGTATGCTCGGGTCCTAAGGACCGCGAACACAAATGATTATGGAAAAGTTTCCAGTGAAAACCCTGAGTGAGCAAGCTTGAGGAGATAGATTTTCAGTAATGCTTACAAACATTAAGCCACCTACAAGAGCAGTAACGGGAAGGCCTTGCAAGCTAATGATAATAAAAGACGACATTTTTAAAGAACTACATCTAAGTACTAGGTAGGCCCTTTATATGGGGAACGCTTTACATCTTGTTTGAGCTTCATATCTTAGTTCCATTTTTTTATATCCTCGCAACCACTCCATGAGGTAGGTCATATCATCCCTATTGACAGACTAAGGCTAGGAGAGATTAAGTAACTATCCCCAGGTCACATGGCTGGGTAATGACAGAGCCAGGGTTTGAAACCTGGCTGACAGAGTCTTAACATCTTCTCCAATTAGCCTTTTCCAGGCTCATCTCATTATGTCAAACAGCCTACTACTCTGCCAGCCAGGGGGGGTCCCCGAAGAGCTTGAAAAGCCCGAAGGCCCATTTCTGGGGAGAGACTGACAGAGGTGTGTTGTGAGCATCTTATCACTCACTCATCTAAGCTCTGCGTGTCACTCAGACTCCACTCAGCTTCCTCTGTTCTGATGTACAGTGATAACCCAGGGTAAAGGGTTTCCAGAAAGACATGCGTGCCCTGGCTTGGCAAGGTATTTAACTTGGCTCAACTGGCCCTGCACCTGGACTCATGCAAGTCAGGTGGCCTGCAACTCACCCTCTCTGGTTGCAGGCTAAAAATCTGGTCAGGGTTAGAAAGTTATTTCACTTAATAGGGTCTCAAATATGGGAAAGCAATCGAAGGGTACGATAGGTGGTGGGGTCACTTGAGAGAGAATTGGGAGATAGGGAAGTGGG